GGGGGGGGGGGAAGCCCTTTTGTAGGGCTTTCAGGATTATGAGGACATGTCCAATGTCCCGCAGAGACTGGAGGCGGCTCTGGGACAAGGGCCCACCTACGCCACCCAGAGACACGTTAGCCCTGAGCGTGGCAGCTCACGGCTTCTCTTTGTCAAGTGTGTTGCCGAACAACTCAGCCTCAAGCGGTCCCAGATCCACGGCAAGACAGCATGTCCCGTCAATGTCAGGAAGAGAAAATGCCTGCCTTCCAGGCCTAAAAGGCTCACCCCAGAGACTGGCTCTCCCTGTCCCCAAACAGCACTGCTCGAGATCTTAAGACAAGTGTTGATTTTACTGGAGTTCATCTACTAAGGACAAACTAGGAAAAGAATATTTGCCAGACATCACGGTCAAAGGGCTAATTTCCTTAATGGATAATACAAACGGGAAACTGGGCAGAAGGACACGAAACCGGGCAAACAGAGAAAAGGGAAAGCAAATCACTCTGCCACCTATGAAATGATATTCGCGCTCATAAACTGCAAGGTTATTTTTTTCACTGGCAGGTGGGCCAAAATAAAAGTTGGTTAACTTGGTACACGCGCTCTCACATACCAGCCATGGGGACGTAAATTGTTAAAATTTGGCAACAACTACCAAAATTGAAAAACACATCCTTTAGCACAGAAATTCCACTTCTAGAACTTTATCCTGCCATCAAAATTCCACGTCCATCCAACGGTACGTACGCAGATACTACAGCGCTGTTGAAAACAAGGCTACAGATAACTGGAAAAACGGAAAGCGGCCGCCAACAGAACACTGGTCACAGCGATGATGGACACCCATGAAACGGGGGCACTGCAACTTTTAGAAAGAGTGAGACAGTTCTACTTCCAAATACTAACGTGGAACAAACTCCAAGGTTGAACATTAATTGAGAAACGAGGTATGAAATAACTTGTGTAGTAGCTTATCATTTCCATTTTATTACCCTATTTGTTTGTGTATGTATGTATTCATTTGACCATTTCTGTTGTTTTCTTTTAATGTTTATTTTGGAGAGAGAGACAGAGCCAGACAGAGCACGAGCACGGGAGGGGCACAGAGAGAGGAGACACAGAATCCGAAGCAGGCTCCGGGCTCCGAGCCGTCAGCACAGAGCCCGACGCGGGGCTCGAACCCACAAACCGTGAGATCATGGCCGGAGCTGAAACCAACAGTCGGCCGCTTAACCCACTGAGCCGCCCAGGCGCCCCTCCTCCCAACGTGCTCCTCTTAACCTGACCTCTCGGTACCAGTCCTTCTGTTGTGAAACCGGTTGTCTGAGGACACCACACTCGACAGACTTTCCTCCGTCCCCGGTGGCCATCCTTCTCAGGCCCCTCCGCCCAAGCCTCTGAGTGTCGGCGACCCAGTCTCACAGTTCAATGCTTCAGCAGCGGCAACTCCGCTCGCTGTCAACTCCAGACCGGCGCACCCAGCTGCCCACTTCCATCTCCGTCTCGGTGAACGTCCACCCCGTCCTCAGTTGGGACTTTTCCGAGAAAGAACCCCCGCGGCCAGCGCTCTCGCACGCCTGCTCCTCCCCCGGGAGCTGGCCTCGCCATCGCCGCGCTGCTGCTCGCGGCCCACAGCGTGGATGTGACTCGGATGCCTCTTTCCCCCTTCTCCACGTCCACCCTTTGTCTAACCCCGTTCACCCTTCCCCTGAAGCGGTGGCTCTCCGAGTGTGGTCCCAGGCGCAAGAAAGGTCAATTCTTGGGCCTCCCCTCCCAGCCCTATGGCCATCTCCTTTAACACGCCCTCTGGCTGACCCTGCACGCCCTGAAGCTTGAGAGCCACCGCTCGGAAATAAACCCCAAATATCTATTTTCCTTCTGTCGCCATGACTACCACCCCAATCCAAGCTCCCGTCACCTCTCCCTTGCCCCCCCCAGCAACCTCCTGGCTGCCTCCCTGTCTCCGTGCTTACCCCCTCACAATCCATTCCCCACACAGCAGCCAAAGCGAGCTTTGAAATCGTCCAAGCGGGCCTTGTCACCACCCTGCTCGAAACCCTCCACGGCCTTCACAGTGTCTCCTTGTCTGGTCCCGTTTCTGTCCCTGATGCCATCTGGGTCCGCTCCTTCACCTGCACCCCACAGAGCACCCGTCTGGCCGCTGTTCGGCTCCTTAGACGTGCCAAGCACGTGCCCCTCTGCGACAAGCATTCCCTTTGCCTGGGACACTCTTCCAGCCCCGGCCCCCCCAACGTCTTCGCCATGTAAACCCCAGCCAGACCTTCCCTAAGCGATCTACACTCGCCACCCAGCAACCTTCTATCACATTGCTCTATTTTAACTTCCCACATGGCCTTACTGGACTTTTTCTTATTTATATGTCTGCCCACCTAAAACACATAAACTAAGAGAACAAGGGCCTTGTCTGTCGAGTTGGCCGCTGGGTTTCAGTGGGTCGGTGCTGGGCCATGCGGGGTGTCCCAGAAATACTTGTTGAATGAAGAGGTTTTGCACTTAATTAAAAATCAAACAAACAGGGGTGCCTGGGTGGCGCAGTCGGTTAAGCGTCCGACTTCAGCCAGGTCACAATCTCGCGCTCCGTGAGTTCGAGCCCCGCGTCGGGCTCTGGGCTGATGGCTCAGAGCCTGGAGCCTGCTTCCGATTCTGTGTCTCCCTCTCTCTCTGACCCTCCCCCGTTCATGCTCTGTCTCTCTCTGTCCCAAAAATAAATAAAAAAACGTTGGAAAAAAAAAATTAAAAAAAAAAAAAAATCAAACAAACAGAAAATCACTCCTTCCACAGGCTGGGGCTGAGTATGTTGCTCTAGGGCACCAGGAAAATGCAGCGAGCAGCAGGCCTAAGGAGGAAAAAAGTATCAATTCCAAGACCCAAGAGCCAATGGCTGTACCTGCTGACGCCTTCGGGAACCATCTGTCACAGGTGCTCAGGGACGAAGCTGAACTGGGGCCACAGCCTCCAGCAGGCTTCCGAGGAGAGCACAGTGGCATTCTCCGGGTTTACGGGAAAGACAGAGAAGTGTGCTGCCCGGGCGTGCCCCTCCTCCCCCGGGCGCCCCCACAAAGGATCAAGGGGCAAACAAAGAAAAGGAGACAAATAAGCCCCAAGCATCTGGGATTAAAAATCTCACTAACCAGGAAAGACCATCACTCATTCATTCATTCACTCAGGTTTTCCTCCCAGACCCTGAGGGCCTGTTCGATGCCACGCCCACAAGACCGGAAGCTGACAAAAGGTGGCACTTGGGAGCCCCTAATAAAGGAGACAGACATGGAAACATAGTATTACACCAAAGCACAGAGAAGTCTGTCAGACCACAGGAGGGGCAACGGGAACCGAGGGAGCAACTGAATCCCCATCCCACCCCGTATTAGCACCGGTGTGCCAAAGCCTTTTTTAAAAAGGTTATATTCTTTGACCAGAGATTTTATTTCTAAGAGAATTGATCCTAAAGGAATTGCTAAATTACCAAAGATTTATACACGGGGAGGTTCATCACAGTGTTGTTTGTAACTGGGGGGAAAACCGCACTGAACCTAGAAGTTCAAATACAGGAAACTGCTTATGGTACATTCACATAACAAAATATGCTGCAAATACAGGAATGGCAGTATAGATACATTAGGAAATGACTGGGTGCGGGGAGAGATTCAGGGGCTGAAGGACAATGGAGGGAAGACCTACTTGTGTACCTTTCAAAACCTCCACCCAGCACAAAAGAGTTCCCCAAAACAGTAAAGTTAAAAAGTGTTTAAATCAGCAAGATCCATCAACATGCTGCCTACAAGAGACTCACTTCAGACCTAAGGACACACGTAGAAGGAAAGTGAAGGGACAAAAAAACATTTACCATGCAAATGGAAGCAAAAAGAAAGCTGGAGTAGCAAGACTTCCATCAGAAAAAACAGACTTTAAAACAAAGAGACGGGGCGCGCCTGGGTGGCTCAGTCGGTTAAGTGTCCAACTTCAGCTCAGGTCATGATCTCGCGGTTTGTGAGTTCGAGCCCCACGTGGGGCTCTGCCAGGAGCCTGCTTCAGATTCTTTGTCTCCCTCTCTCTCCCTGCCCCTCCCCCGCTCATGCTCACACACTCTCTCTCTCTCATAAACATTTAAGAAAATAAAAATTTTAAAACAAAGAGACAAAGACACTACAAAATGATAAAGGGAACGATCCAACGGAGTGTAAATAATTGTAAATATCTATGGACCCAACATGAAAGCACCTAAATTCATCAAGCAACTATTCACAGACATAAAGAAACGGATGGTAATAACAATCATAGGAGGGGCCTTCATGCCCCCACTTATGTCAATGGATAGATCACTTGGACAGAAAATCAACAAGGAAACAGTGCCTTTGAAAAATCATTTGAGCATATGGCACTGAGTCTACTTCTGAGCCTCTATTCCTTTCTATTGATCCACATCTCTGACCATGTAACACTACCTTGATGACTACTCTACACAATAAGCCTTCGTGGCAAGAGGAGTTACTTTGTTCCACTTCACTGTTCTCTGTGGAGATTGTTTTAGGTATTTTAAGGCCTGTGTGTTTCCCAATAAATTTTATAGTTAATCTTGCGTATGTCTGCAAAAGCCCTCCTGGGGTTTTGACAGAAATTGCATTAAACCTACAGGCAGGCGGGGTGGGGAGAACGAACATCAATACTATGTTGCCATCCACAGACACATGGTGTCTGTCCACTTATCCAGTTCTTCTCAATAACTTCATCAACCTTCTATGATATTCAGGACACAGATCAGGGAAGCATTTTGTTAACTGAACACCTAAGTATTTAACTTTCTTTGCATTACTTCAAACGGTATGATGGTCTCAATTTGTTTCTTAATGTCCATTATTTGTATTGGAAATGCACTTGATTTTGAAAACTGGGATATAATTCACACACCATAAAATTCACCATTTTAATGTTTATTGCTGCATTATTTACAATAGCCAAAATATGGAAACAACCTAAGCGTCCGCTGATGAGTGAATGGATAAAGAGGTACGATGTTCAGACACACACACACAAACACACACACACACACGATGGAATACTATTCAGCCATTAAAAAGAATGAAATCTTGCCATTTGCGACAGCATGGATGGACCTTAAGGGAATTATGGTAATTGAAATAAGTCAGAGAAAGACAAATACTGTATAATCCCATTTACATGCAGAATTTAAAAACAAAACAAAAAACTAAGCTTAAGAGAACAGCCGGGTGGTTGGCAGAGGCAAGGGGGTGGGTGGTCAAAATGGGCGAAGGAGATCAAAAGCTACGAACTTTTGTTTACGAATAGGCCTGGAAATGTAACGCACAGCATGGTGACTATAGTTAACGATGCTGCTGCTGTGTAATTGAAAGCTGCTAAGAGAAGAAATCTTAAAAGTCCTCATCACAAGATGGGGCACCTGGGTGGCTCAGTCGGTTAAGCATCCGACTTCAGCTCAGGTCATGATCTCGTGGTCCGTGAGTTCGAGCCCTGCATCGGGCTCTGTGCTGACGGCTCGGAGCCTGGAGCCCGCTTCAGATTCTGTGTCTCCCTCTCTCTCTGCCCCTCCCCTGCTCACGCTCTGTCTCTCTCTCTCTCTCTCAAAAATAAATAAAACATTAAAAAAATTAAAAAAAAAAAAAAGTCCTCACCAGAAGAAAAAAAATATTCTGTATGGGCGGTGACAGATGTTAACTAGACTAACTGTGCTGACCATTTTGCAATATATACAAATATTGAATCATTATGATGTACTCCTAAAACTAATGTTATATATCAACTATACCTCAACAGAAATTTTAATTCATCATTAAACAAAGTTTTTAAGTCATATATTTTTCATGGGGAAATGATAAAAGTTGGTTATACAACAGAAAAAAAAGATAAAATCCTACTCTGATAACATATACAATATTATTATTATTTAGTTGTATTTACCCACATAGAAAATAATGCACGAGGATATATACCCAAATGTAACAGTAGTTACCTTTGGTTGATGGGATGTGGGTAACCGTATTTATCTTTTGATTCTATTTTTAATGCTTCTACAGTCACATCAAACCTTCATCCAAAATCTCAAGGGGGAAAATAATATAGCCTTGTAGAAATACACGTGAAACCTGGGGTGACAAGGAACATGAAGGCCCCCTGAAGAGGTCCTGCTGTGCTCCCCGAGTCTCGCACTCCACAGGGGACCCGCCGGGAGTCAGGGGCTCCTCCCACCTGCTCTTAGCACTAACCTTCAGGAGCTTGAAGCGAGAAGCTGGGACAATGAAGTGTCTATTCTGTTTCTTCTTGCAAATGCTGCAGCTACAAAAAAAAAGAGCAGTTCCCAGATTGTGAAACAAGCACCTGTGCCCTCCGAGTGCCCAAGCACCCCCCCCCCCCAACCAGTATGTCCCCAGAGGTGAAGCCCCTGTCAGCTCCGTTCAGGGAAAGGGGAGCTCACGCAGATGGACGGGCCACCGGGTGTCTCGGCTCAGCGGTCAAAGCTGCATACCCCTCGGAAAACCGGACCATCACGACCACATTCCTGCTGCCTACCCTCCCACACAACCCCCCCACACACACCCTATTACAGTGAAGGGAACTGCTGGATTCTAGAAACACTTAGAAAACAAATGTCAGGCATGGGTACCATCTTATGCCTCCAGGATCCCCACACCTAAAGCGGACAAGGCGGTTTGGGTTTCCTGCTTCCTCATCTGTCCATCACAGAAAGCCTGGCCTTCGAGTCGGATGAATCCTCGGAATGACCATCTCCGGAATCAAATCTAAATCCCCCTTTTCCGTCCGCCTTTGAGAAAAAGGTCGAATTTCATATAGAATCCTCTAACAAATTGTCCCCACGGTGCTGCTTCTCCAATCTGGACTCCACTGCTAGTAGCCTGGTCGGTTCTCCATGTGAGTAATTCCGTGGTGTTTATGTATCATCCCTATGGGATTCAGGGACTGCACCATCGAGGGGGCAAAAAAGGACCAGATCCCGTTGAACAACTAGTTGCCTGCTAACTATTGGTTCAGAAGTCACAGCCTGTCGTGCCTTTGTTTTATGACAACTGGCCTGGGAAGGTGCTCAAAGCGGGCCCTCCGTGAATCCTGCTGGGACCATCTGCCTCATCCAGAACAGAGCCCGAGGGCCTGGCCCATGGAAGCTTCCAGGTGTGCACAGCCTCCACTCGTATCCCCCCGCTTACCCCCACCTCTAGACTCCTGTGAGGACTGTGCCCAACCAAGGCTTGTCATTCCGTGCCCAGCCTGACCTGCCTCCAGCTAACTGCTCCGTGTCAACCCTCCACCAGTACAGTCTGAGGGGTGATGCTGGGAGGCATAAGCGGGGAGGGCCCTGCTCTGTGTCACCCGGGGAATGTACTGTAGGAGTGAGCTCGCTTGTGTGCTTCTCTCTCTCTCTCTCTCTTTCTCACAGAGCAGGCTCGGTTATTTTTAGCTTCCCCCCACGTTTAAAAAAAATATATTACCGAAAACGTCTAGTATATACAAAAGGGAAAAAAAAATAGAAGGAACCCTTACGTACCCATCACCTGAGGCCAACAGCAATGAGCTGGTGGCCAACGCTGTCTCCCCGGTACCCTGACTCCCCAGATGATGTTTTAACTCTCAAGTCCCCGCCAGCAACTCGGGAAGAGAAAACTCACTTGCAGTCAAAGATGTGCAAGTCCGCCGAGGCCCAAACTTCAAAACGAACCGCCCCACAGTGGCAGCCTCCGGTGTGTTTCACCAGGCCCTGGTATTCGCTACGGGAAACAAAAAATCAGAAAGATAAGGAGTTCTGGACAGTCAGGCAGGACCTTATTGCACAGCTCACGCTTTCTTTCTCTCTCTCTCTCTCTCTCTCTCTCCCTCCTTGTTGGAAGAAGGAAGCAGGATGGGACAAAAGTCTTCTCTTGAGGAGGTACTGGCAATGCTATAAAAGAAAGGCCTTTTATAAAGGTCTTTTCGATGACCTCTCGTTTAAAAAATTTCTTATATTCTATTAGGTCACAAAAATAAAACATTCCAATAATATGCACCATGGGACTTGGGTGGAGGATCCTGATCCCACCCACTCAAACATGTGTATTTACATGTCAAAGACCTACCTGGATTTTTTTATTTGTATTTTTTTTTAAATGAGCTAGACACCGGGGAGAGAACAGTGAGATACAGCAGACAAGGCTCCTGGCCCTGGCAACCTTAGGCAGCCATCAAAGAAATGACCCAAGTAGTATTTAAGGGACTGTGGTAGGACAAGCCGCTGGGAAAAAGTAAAACGAGGGGACCTGAATCTGGTAGTTGGGAAAAGGCTTCTTCTGAGAAGAATTCTGGAATGTTTGCTACATTCCCCACCAGTATCTTGCATATACAGGACTCTTTACAGAGCTATACGTACACATTACATTCTTTTTAGGTTTATTTATTTATTTTGAGAGAGAGAGAGCACACGAGTGAGGGAAGGGCAGAGAGACAGTGAGAGAGAGAATTCTGAGCAGGCTCCATACTGTGAGAGCAGAGCCCCATGTGGGGCTTGAACCCACCAACCATGAGATCATGACCTGAGCTGAAACCAAGAGTCAGACACTTAACCAACTGAGTTACCCAGGCGCCCCATATGACATGCTATTTTAATCCTTTTAAAACATATATAAGCCAGGCCCTTAACTGAACTTTATTAAGCTTGATAAGTAACATCAAATTGCACTCCAAAAGGGCTGAACACTTCTCAGCAATGAGAAAACCTTTCACTGTCCCTGCTTGAGCAATAATTACAGGAAAAACAACATGCAGTATTTTGCATTTTTTTGGTTATTCCACGTTTCTTTACAGGTTGAATCAGTGAACTTGTATTTAAAATCTTTTCTGCACGTACAAATAACGCTCATTGTAAAAAAAAAAAATTAAAACGTTACAACATTTGATAATGTTAAAAAAAGAAAGTCTCCTATAATCTTACCCGGAGCCATCCACAGTTAACTATATGCAATAGATTCCTGCAGACTTCTTTCTATACAATAGTATTTTCACAAAACAGTGCGGAGTTAGGCATTCTTTTTGCATGTAAGTTAATTTAGTGAGTTTTGGGTTTTTAAAATAAGCGTACGCACTCAAACCAATCTGACAGGTAAAAACAAAACAAAACGAGCTCCCTTGTCTGTTATCAACATTTTAAAATAATTTTCTTGACCACTTATCAAGTTTGTTTTAAAGTAAAAATTTACTACAAATTTGAGTTTTACATTTCATGGGGTCTTTATAGCCCTTACACCTAGCAATGGGCAGCACATCATAGGGGCTCAAAAATGTTTAATGACGAATGTAAAAAAAAAAAATGTTCAGCCTGCAGTCCAAGATGATAAGTCAGAAAGGGAAGCACACAGGTAACCAAATATTTCACCTCCGAGAAGACGCACCCTAACCACTTTCTTCTGGATTAAGGACAAAAGAACATTTTTTGATCAAGAAAAGGCGTAACCCTCGGGTTGTTATGCAATTGTTAGGTCGGCCTGGTTTTTCCTGTGGTTTTGACTGCTCTTCGTAATTCATAAAATCACGGACACGGAGCTAGATTATTAGGGTGCTAAAATAGTTCTCTGCAGCACAACTGTCCTACGGGGTAGGGATCCAGATGCTCCGGCAGCCGCTGCCGGAGTTCATAGCTGGTTTCTAACACCACGGACACTCTGAAATCCTCCCCTGGCCCGTCCGTCTCAGGTCCTGGGGGTTCTTCTCCTGCTGGAGCAACGCTGGGGGAGCGCGAAGGAGAGCGAGCCACCCAGGGGCATCGAGGCCCCCTCCCTCCGCTTAGGTACCCGCGAAGCCGTCCCGGATGCCGAGCATCTCTTCGCGCGCGCTTCTCTCGGGATCAATTACCCCCTCCCCCGCACCCCGCTCCCTCCCAGGGAGCGCCGGGAACAATAACGGGATCTCGCCTCCCGGTTGGTTCCAAACTATTCCAGCTTTTCTGCCCACCCGCTGGCCTCTCCCTGCCCCCCTCTCTCCAAAAACACGTGCGCAAATATAAAAAGCGACCCGGGGAAGAGCACAAAGTCGTGGTGGGCTTTATCGTCTCCTCGCTGGGAAAGGCCCCCGCACCCTCGGCGCGCCCAGACGAGGGACAACGTCCCGAGCACGATGGCTGTCCCCGGGAAAGACCCTTTGTGTCCCAGGACGCGGCGCGGCTCTTCTCACGCTCCGGGACGCAGTGCCCCGTCAAGGGCCGCACGCCGGCCCCGAGCCAAGCCTCGCGGCCGCGCCACTTAGAGACGCGCCAGGTGCTAGCACCCGGGAACGCGTGGGTCACGGTGCGGGAAAGGACGCGGAGCTGAAAACCTGCCCCGGCCCGCGCCAGCCGCTCTCGCGCTGAGGGCGTCCGCGTGGCGCCGGGTCCCGCGCCCGGCCCCGGCCGCACTCACAAGGTGTCCAGCAGCAGCTTGGCGGCGCCCTCGAAGGTGAGCCTCTGTCGCTTCTGGAACGTCTCCCAGCGCTCCCGCTGGTCGCCCAGGTCGGGCAGCGAGGCAGCGGGCGAGGCGGGGGGGGGCGGCGGCGGCGGCGGCGGCGGGAGCAGAGGCAGCTCCGGCGGCGGCTGCCCGGGGCCCGCCTCCTGGGCCCGCGGCGACGACTGCGTCGGCCGCCGCTTCGCCGACGGCTGCCTCGCCGCCGCCCTGCTCTCGCCCCCGGC